TACACGATTCTAACACTATGTCTTTTGAATATATTCTAGTGCTAGGTCTACTTGCTATGATCTCTGAAAGCTTTTGCTTGCAAAATTTACAACACAGAAATAGTGATAATAAAAATTCGATGATACATCGACTCTATATTGACAAGGCAGAAGACACAGTCCACAAACGCTTCTCATATACGTGACGTCTTAACGATGACCTCAAGTTCTCAAACATCAACTCTCTGTAAGAAAGAAAGAACGAAACAGTTTGATGGACGGACGAGGGCGATCATTAAATCGCGTCTGGCCGAACGATCGTCCTATTTACGAATTGGAACGAACGAACGGTCTGGCAAAGGCGGCCAAGGGACGATCGTGTCGAGAGGATCGGTCGGTCGGTCAATCGATCCGGTCCGGTCGGTCCATGTTAGATATCTATCGACGAACGCATAGCTTCCTATTAGCGAAGCATTTCCTACGAACGAGATTCTCGTCGGTTGGTTCGGCTCTCGGTTGCCGGCTCGCCGCTTGCCGCCTCTTCGCACACCACCATCACCAACCACCACCACTACGTTTGTGTCTCTTCACCGTTTCGCGCTGCTCCGGTGCCACGCCACGCCGCCCTACGCCGCACCCGTGGGCGATATCGTATAAATGTGTCGTTAATTACTTACCCCGCGGCCGCGACACCACCCTTCTCTTCCACCGGTATTTCTCCTCCCTCTAACCGTCTCCGCCAACCTCCACTACGTCCGCGCTACCGCCGCCTCCTCCTCCTCCTCCTCCGCTACCGCCGCCGCCGTCACCCTTCTGTTCCATAGAACCCGTCACCTCTACCCGACCTGCCTTCCCAGTGTACCAGGCTATCCTCCACCTCCTCCTCCCTCCTTGCCCTCCGTCCAACAGCCCCACGCGCTTGCCTCTTTCTCTTTTCCCACCTTCGATTTGCCCCTCTTACTTTCTCGCTTTGTTCCCTCTACCATCGCCTGCCACCTCCTCCTTCTCCTTCTCTTCTGTCCCTTTCAACTCCCGAACTCCGGTTCTTTCTCTTTCTCCAACCGATTTGACCGTTCCCATCTTCCTTTCGCTCCAGTTCGAGCCGCGTTTCTCTCTCTCTCTCTTTCTCACTAAGCGGGAGGCAGAGAGAGCCTCTCATCCTCGCCCTGGTTCTCGTTCTCGTTCTCGTTCTCGTCCTCGTCCTTGTCCTCATCCTCCGCCACGTTATGGCACCGCGTGTTAAGGAAACTAATGTTTATTTGAAAAACTAATTGAACGGGACTCTCGCGTCTACAGCCGGCAATTAAACGAGATTACTGCAGTAGCGCTCGAGCCCCCGTGGGGATTAGATAGCACAGTAAGATATGGAACGCGTAATGTTTAACTACGGCTGCCGGCAGCCCTCTGAAGCGCCGCCAATAATTAATTGTTAGCTCGATACTGCTACCACCGCGAAAACCAGCCGATATCAAAAAACCGGAATACCGCTGCTGCTGCTGCTGCTGCTGCTCCTGCTGCTGCTATTGCTACCGTCGCCGATCGTTTCACCCCTCCCCCTCCTCTCACTCCTCTTTCCTCTGTTCTTCCTTCTAACCAACCACCAGCACGACCACTACCACCCACCTCGGCTCGTTCCTCTACCATTCTTCTATTTTCTTCCCTCACCCCTCTATCTGTTCGCTTCACTTTTCCTCACCCTGATCCTCTCGTCGTTAGCAAGCTTCGTTTCTTCGGCCGGTTTACTTTGATCACGATTCGCGTAATCTGCCGAGATGAAACTCTATGCGCCTCGGTAGCCGCGCTCGTTCCGCTGTTTCAAAAAGTTGCCGGTGCACGCGCGTAATAGAGGCACGGTCAAGCAAGATTTAACCAGACGGAGCGGCAGCAACGAGCTACGGGTTGGCGCGTTCGTTGAACGCGTTAGTTCTGTTTTCAG